GTATGTGGCTGCATACTCCCATGATGACCCCTTTCCATCACCAGTGCCTTCAATGGAAATGTGAGAGTTAGAACTTGACCATTGAACAATGGAAGAAGGTTGCCTGGTCTCATGAATCATGTTTTCTTTTAGATCAGGTGGTTGCTAGGTGCGTGTGTCTCATTTACCTGAGGAAGGGATGGCAGCAGGATGCACTATGGGAAGAAGTCATGCCAGCAAAGGAACTGTTTTGCTTTGGGCAATGTTCTGCTGGGAAAACTTGGGTCCTGGCATTCATGTGGTTCTTACTTTGATACGTACAACCTACTTAGAGATTGTTGCAGACGTCATGTACACCCCATCATGGCAATGGTGTTCTCTGATGGCACTTTCCTCTTTCAGTGGGATAATGCACCCTTCCACACTGCAAATATTGTCATGGAATACTTTGAGGAGCATGGCAAGGAGTTCAAGGTTTTGCGTTCTCCCCTAAATTCCCCAGATCTCAATACGAGTGAGACTTTGTGGAATGTGCTGGAACAAAAAATCCAATCCATGGAGACCTCAACTTGCAACTTGCAGGACTTAAATGATCTGCTGCTAATGTCTTGATGCCAGATACCACAGGACACATTCAAAGGTCATGTGGAGTCCATGTCTTAATGGATCAGAGCAGCATGAGGGAGACCCACATGATATAAGGCAGATGGTTCTAATGGCATGGCTGATCAGTGTCTAAAAAGATCTAAAAAAATCTCAAAATATTAAAATATTTTTACAATACTAATACTATTTTAAAAGTTTATCCAAAAATATTAAATCAAGTCCTATATAGAAGGGCATTAACCTGTATTTTATATATGTCCAATGGGAGTTGTGAGTGGCACTGGCACATAGTAAAAGGTCGATGGCATACCTTTGTTATAGACTGTAAGCTCATTTGAGCAGGCTCCTCGTCAACCTATTGTACCTGTATAATTTTGTAATTGTATTGTGTATTGTTAAATTTCCCCCCTTTCATAATAAGTTGGTGCTATATAAATACCAATAATAACATTAATAATACCGGTAGCTGCAGCAAGTTAAGCTGGCAGAAGAGTTGATATCCTAATGCAAGTTGATATGAGAGGAATCTCAGAGCGCCATCATAGGTCACATGTAATCATTTGAAATGTTAATCCCAAAATTTTAAATCGAGGTTACAATGAGAAAACTCAAGCCATGAATGTGATCCATTTTCTTTCTATACCAGCCGGAAGATATGCAATCTTTAAAGAAACATTTCATGGTGTTGTTGGTATGGAAAAAATAATGCATAGCGGTGAGCTCTTGTTAAAATGTAATAGTTTTGATAGGCTTTACAGAATATTACCCACCTGGCTTTTTTTTTTTTTTGGGGTGGTGGTGGTAGTCCAACACTTGTAGAGATGTGTACTATAGACCTATACGTAAATAACAAAGTGAAAGGTTTAAGCTTCCTCTGGACATATAGAATTAGTAACTGTCTCATATTCCACTGTGGTAATCTTTGTATATGTCCACAATTTGGTAGCTGTAATTTACTTCATTTTGACAAGATGCCAACCACGTTACAGGTAATGAAAAACGAATGTGTTACTTATTTCCTAACAGGATTTAGGGTCCTGAAATCTTTTATAATTGTAGAATGATAATGATATTTTCCATACATTCTGAAGTTCTAATGTCTCTGTTTAAATTAAAGGAGAGAGGGGCAAGTTACCTATTCTGAGCCTATAAAGGGGTAATTTGATGTGGGGTAATACAGGTATTAATGAAGCACATTGACCTACCTGATTAAATACAAATAATATGCTATATACAGCTAAAAATAACATCTTTACAATTATACGATAATTAGGTTTTAAATTATCTTCCATAACATTTTCTGATTAGGTAGAATTCCCTTACGTGCAAGAAAATAGGCCATTATTTTTGATAATGTTACTTTATTGGTCTGCAGGTGAGATCAAGTATTAAATGGTTTAAAATGCCGCTGAACACTGTAAGATATGGTTAAGCAATTTGTATACTATTAATCCAGGAAGTTTAATCAAGCTAATTATGAAAATAAAATATGCATTGCTTTAATCTTAAGAATTCAGGCCATGTCGATCTTAATTAGAAGCCATTAAAATGTCAAAGCTCAATGGAAACATTTGTGTGACTGTTCCTTCCTGCTTTAAAAAAAATAAAATAATTTAATCTAGTGAACTATATTAATATATTAATATTCAAAGGATTGGGAGTTAGTGGGAAATAAAAACTTTTAAGATTGTATCCCTTCTCTGCAGAACCAATAAATGTAAAACACTGTGTATTGTTAGCATCAAAGTTACTAAGTAAAAAAAAAGAAGACCTTTGGTAAATGCCATGCAATAGTCCTTGAATCATATTCTATGTCCATCAGCCTCAAGACAAGGTCAATGAGATACCATTGGGATTTTCTCCAAGTTTGCTCACAGTCTCTCCAGTTGTTCACCCAATCCATCCTATGTGATATTATACATGTATGAATGCTACATACAATAATATGAAAGTAGCAATACTAAAACTTTCATATTACTCCCAAAGCTAATTATTACACAAAAATTGCAAATTCCCCTTGGTCCTACTTCAGCCTTGTAAAACTTTCTATGAGCTTGTGTCACGCGTACTTTTTTACGTCACTTGGATGATCTTGATAACTTTTTTTAACCTCTAATCAAACCGTTCTGTGGATAAGAACTTGAGACCATACCTGTGAGGATTTCAACTTATATTACAGTGTGATGTCTACATTTCCCTAAGTAGTTGTTTGGGGGGGTTACTAAAGAGGACATACCTAGTGGACAAAATAAGTGTAGATAAAAGGATCATAGAAAAATAACAGAAACAGAGAAAGATTAGGTTGAAAAGTTCAACAATAGAGAAACATGTTAAAAAGGAAGAGCATTAGAAATGAGAGAGAATAAGTGATAAAAGGAAGTGGTGGGAAATAGTATATTTTAGTTAGTTCCAAATCTATGATAACTACTTAGTCTTATATACGTGAAAACGGTTTCCTTTTCTATGTAATCTGAAATTTACTTTCACAGTAGTTACTGTACCAGAACAGCCTTGTAGCAGAAGTGAGACTCATCTAAAGAGATTTTGTTAGAATGTTCTGTCTTTCCACAGTAGACTACTTTCTTCCCACTAGTCTACAATCAACGACACACAAGCTATGTACGTAAACATCCACTCCTTATGCACCAACTACAATGGTGTCACAAGTCATTGTCACCATTTGACAGAGATTGCTATGTTCTCAAACTCCCATGTATTATTGTCACATTCCAGCTTGACTCTGATTGTTATGTATTTCCATCCATGTGTAATCACTCTTTTTTAAATGAATATCTGTATATTTGTGTATATTCACGCAGTTACCTCATCCACATTTAGTTTTCTATTTACCTTCATAAATAGTATACAAGGTACAAGGTATATTTCGTATTAAGTATACAAGGTACAAAGTATATATCATATTTAGTATACAACATACAAGGTATATTTCATATTTAGTTTACAAGATAATTTGGTGCTTTGAAGATACTATGAGGTAGTTCCTTTCACGTTTTAATATATTTATACATGCTTTAATTATTTTCTATTTCTCCCAGAAGGATACAGAAGGAAGAACATATATCACAAACTCCAGCACCACAGAATGGTACTTTTCAGTCGGCGGACCACTCTGAGCTGGTAATGGTTAATCACCACTACAATGATCTGATGCAGAGTTCCCCGTACGAGAAAGGTATTTCTGGAATCATTTCTAGTAATATTTGTCTATAATGTTCCAATTATTGGGAGGTTCAGGTGACGAAGTAAAAAGTGTTGAAGAGTCACTAAATACCATTAAAAAAAAGTTGGAGATCTAAGGAGGCATAGATCCATTCCTCAGACCTCGTATGTTCTACAGAGCTTAGAAGGTTCAGTAGGGAAGACATGCATTATGGTTCCTGATAATGCTTACACAACATGCCATTTGGGTTAGTTTTACAAAAAAACGAATTCATTGTACCTTCACAAATGTGTAAATGTACAAACCTTAAAAAAGTATCTATAGCATTACAACGCCTCTTTAATGCTGTTAAAAAAAGTACAACATAACAAATTTATGTTCTAATTAACTATTTAAATTACTAAGAATAATAGAACCAAACAGATCTCCTTTTGGGAGAGTGTGTGCTACAACAGATGTGTTAGTGAAAAAGATAGGTGTATAGCCGCTCTGTACACTAATGTGGATTACCCATTATTCAACATGCAATGGATATAACAAAGGAATTTGGTATATAATATATATATACCTTAAGTGGAGTGCTATAAATGTTGAGGTATTACCTCACAGGGTCTGGATTGGGTCGTATACGTCACATACAGATATGGAAGATAAAAATATACATTGTAAAACACTTGTGCACTTTTAAATGAGCTAGATAAATGTATCATTCACATTTTCCAGAGCCTATATTTTGGCTCTGTAAATTGGACCGGTATGCTTTTTAGGGCAGCATCCCACCACTATTTCCTGCTGAAATTTTTCTCCGGGAAGATAAAAACAATAGGAACATCCAATGTGTAGTATAGTCAATTCACAAATATTTCTTATAGAATGTAAATAGGTATTATGCTCACCTGTTATAGAGCCTTAAAATCCTGGCTCTGAGTGTGGTAGGCTTTGTGCCACTCTAAAGGGGTTGGCACTTCCTCAAATGAAGGTACTGGAGGCGTCTATGGACTTAGTATAAAATGTAATCTATTTATTAATACAAATATACTAGAAAGTAAATAAAACTTAAATACAATAATTAAGATAAAAAGTCCTGGTTGCCGATACGCGTTTCACTCCTCCTGGAGCTTCCTTAGTCAGCTGTTTTTAGATCCTCTGTACCTTCTGCCTTTTAAATGTCTCTTGGGCCCTCCCTTGAGTTCGTATTCGTGGTTCAATTTTTCAATTTACCAATTGTCTGTGTCTTTAATTATGAGTCCCTCATATGTTTGTAGTCACCTGTCTTTCCCTTCCTTTTATTAGTGGGAGAAGGAGGTATGTTTTAAATCTAAAAAGGAAGGGAAACACAGGTGAATACAAACATATGAGGGACTCATAAAGTTGTGATTCACTATTCTATTCTTGATATTTTAGTGGAACAAACCCAGAGAGCCAATACATTCCATGCTTTTGATTAAATTCTGGTGACTCAGTCAGTGTAGAATACATTGTCTTATGTTTGGCGTGGAATCAAATGTAATTGTAATTTAGTCTGTTCTGTAAGATGTACATGCACATTATCAGACTATATGACATAGATATATAATCTATGCTATTTCTTTGTTAAATGCAGTTAACTCCTTTTTGACCCATGGTTTGGGAATGGGATACAATGAGGAATTATTAATGCCTCCTGCAGGTTAGCTCATCTCAAGGTACAGATTCCTGTCAGGTTTGTCCTGTCAAGTGTAGTATATTCAGTGGAAATAAAAGAACAGTGTAGATGTATAATATATCGCAGCCACCAGGAGCATTTTAACCAGGTTAAATGATGCAAATCACAGTCTTTTCTTTTTAGAGTCAATTCATAGAATTACTTTTCCACATGAAACAAGAAATAGCGGGTGCATATAAACAAGCTCTGATGTGGTAATGGATATTCTGTTATTGTCCGGTACAAAGTGTATGCATTTTAATGTTTGTTTTTTAAACATTTTATTGCGCTGAAATATATTAACAAATGCAACTTTTCTGAAAAAAAAATATATTAAAGAAAAAGCACTTTTGAGAAGCACTCTTTATGAAAAGACCTTGTAAAGGGACTGAACGTCAACACAGACTCATTTTTTTTTTTTTGTCTGTTTTTAATAAAAGTGGCTTCACTGCATTGTACCGAAGACCTATGAGTGCGCGCTTTCATTTATTTTACCTGGATGAAATTAGTAGCACCGACGCAGTTATTAATGAGGGAGACTTGAATGCATTGTACCTGCGGTGTATATATATATATATGTGTGTGTGTGTGTGTGTGTATATATGTATTTATACATTAAAAGATATAAAAGATATACAGATTATATAGAAATGAAAAGATATACATATATCATTAACCAAGCATATATTGCGGTTTTGATCATCATTAAATTTGTTATATTTTGTAAATGAACTAATAATTTAAACAGTGAAAAGGTGTAAGAAAGGGTGGTGGGAGGGAGCCAGAGTGCGTTTTTTGAAGACATATGAGGCTGAGTTGGGAAAAATGATATGAAGATGGAGTGGTGATTTTGTTGCGGAGGTTTTCTTTTTCGAACATACTGAAAAACATGAATACAGGGATTAATTAAGTTTCAGGGTTTTTATTCATGTTTGCGTTTGTTTCTTTTGTTTAATGTATACAATCCCTGAACAACCAATAATGCTTGCATTGCTGTGTGAAGGCATCCATTTGACCGTCATCAAATAAGCAGTTAAAAGGTGGTGATCTGGGAGTCCTTTATTATTTAAGGAAAACGTTGACCTTAGCTCAGTTCAATATAATTAGACTCTCCTATGCCAGTCTAGAAGTTGTCACCTGTGAAGCCTTTTGCGTCTCCCTTATGTGAACAAACTGAAAGGGGCCAACAAGGCAATTATGCTTCACATTTACACTCTGTAGTCAGACACATTATCGAGATATACAGAGGGACGTGTTTCGACTCTCTGGGAATTCAACTATTTAAACTTATTTTCCCATACCTCAATTCCTGTGGGTCAAAAGATTTGAAAGTCATGTTACACCTCTCCTAGGATTCGAGTTGCAGTTTAGCCAAGCAAGGTTATAACTATAGCACAGTTTAGGGCTCTCAATTGCCAGTTGTTTTCACAATCTGAAAAAAAGCTGTGATTTGATTTCTCAGTTATTAAAGATGCTTTTTACCTCAGTAAATTATGAAATTAATGCTGTAGTGTTTTGAACGATATGTAAACTGCAAATTTAAAAAGATATGCATTTTTTAAATTTACCTGAATAACATTATCGCATAAATTCTTTCATACATTACCACAGAAGTGGTTAGTGGTGTCCCTCAGGGTTCTGTCCTGGGTCCACCTCTCTTTAATCTGTTTATAAATGATCTTGAAAATGGCTTTGAAAGTCATGTGTCGGTGTCTGCAGATGACACAAAACTAGGTAAGAAAATAGTCTGAACATGACACAATGTCTTATTTGGATAAATTGGGGTGGCAAGTGGCAGATGAGATTCAATACAGATAAATGCAATGTGAGAATTTTGAAATCTGAAAAAATCCACTTATAAATTAATTGGGGTTAAGTTATTAAAATAAAAGGACTTGGGAATAATTACAGATAAAAACTAGACAACAGTATGCAATGACGGTCTACCATTGTAAAAGCTATTTAGGTGCTGTCATGTATAAAAAGGAGTATTAATCCATGTGATCAAAATATAATGTTGCCTCCTCACAAATCATTGATTTGGTGCAAATTTGATCATCAAAAATGGATATTGCAGAAACAAAAAAAAAGTGCAGACAAGCAACAAAATTAATGAGGGGGATGGAAAACAGTTATGAAGAACAGTTCGCAAAACTGCATTTGTTTTCTTTAGAAAAAAAGGCACCTCAATGGGAATATGAGAGCACTACACAAATATATACATGGTCAGTAGAAACTAATGTCAAAATAATTTCAGTAGAAATATAATTTCTCACATACTTATTTTTCTCTCCACCCAGCACCTGTAACTAGGTCAGAAGCTGCCAACGAAAGCAACTTAGCAGGCGTCACATCAAGCACAAGTAAGTGGATAATGATGGCTTGTGAAATGCAAGCAAATTTAATGTTTATTTTCATAGGCATAGCTTTTAAGTGACTCTTCATGAACCCACACATGACGTGTGCCTGTGTGCCATATGTCATAGCTGGAATTTACATTATGCACACTAGATTTGTGGGGAGCCCATCCTGCACTTAAAGTATCCATTTCTAATATATAGTCACAGATGGCAACAGTTAACTGCTGCACCTTATGAAAGCCACCTGCACCGTATCAGCCATAAATAAGGTACTCTAATCACCAAAATCGCCTAATATTCTCAATGATTAAGGTGAAGTGAAATGAAATGGGCAAAATGGATAGCATAAGTAGGGAGAAATCTTAGTTTTACATAGATATGTAAGAGTTATCGAAAAACGTGAATTATAAAACAGTCATGCAGTCTCTCACTGCATACTAAACACAGGCATTTAGGATATCACACAGAAATACAGATTATTTGTTACAAAGTGGAACCATGTCAGGATGTACCCAAAATAGATTTTTCAATTGGCAGCAATGGGAGACCAATTAAAGCCCGTTAATGAACCAGAGAGTGAATCTCAACTAAGTTTTTACTTTGAACCGTAGAGTAGATACAAAAAATTATTCTTGTATGTTATTACTGCGCTAAAGAGAGCAAGGGTTCTTACTGAATTTAGACAAGCTTGAAAAAGGTTATCCCCAAAATTCACTTGTGTATAAGGGTATTCATTTTGTTTTCGCAATGTTTTTTCCCTCTGCTACAAAGTAAATTTATATTCCTGCAAACAAACAGCTCGGGCCTCTCATGAAGAAACAGACGACAGTTACAAGTCTTCTACCTCCATCGAACCACAGCCTCGGGTTTACATGCCATCTCTTATATGGAGACTGCCAAAAGAAGGGAAACAGTGGGAAGAAGAACATGCTGCAAAGGATCAAGGAGACAGGTCGAGGGACATGGCCCAGAGCAGAGGTCCACCTGTGGAGAATGTATCAAGTGAACCTACAGTGCTGGGTAAACATAGTCAGGGATTGGTTAGATGGAAATTAAAATTAAATCGGTAAAATACATATTTTAATACATTTAAGTGGAGCATCAATTAAACAGTAATAATAAAGAATTATACAGAAATAGGGTTCATATAGTTGCATTGAAACTAATACCAAGCACTGACATCCTCCTTGAATTACAGTTCAAAGCAAGTGAGGCAGGTATCCCTTCGATCTGTCTGCTTGCAGCTGGGAGATATTACTAAGGGGATTTGTAAAAGTGGTTGGATAGTTATCTTAAAAAGGACACTTTTAGAAAATAAATCTGCAAGGACACACAACTTCAATAAGCTCCAGGGCTTTAGATGTTCAGTATTCCAGTAAACGAAAATATCAAAGTAAGCAATGTAGAAAGTCAGAGAAACTTCTGGCTTATTGTCCTTATTTTCCTGGGTCGGGCAAACTCATATGTTGAACTAAATACCAGCAGAATCAGGAATATGACTTACATGCTGGCGGCTAGCAAATTGACTAGTTTGGGACATTTCAGGGCCAGTTTTGTTTGACTTACCCTATACGTTAGGATTAAAGTATTTTGTCAACAGTGCAAATGTATACAATGCCTATCACAAGTTCACCATGCCACTTAGAATGGAAATACTCTACTAGTCTGGACACTAGTCCACAGTAATCCTGTCCTACAGAATGGGAAATGATGTATTTAAGTTGTCTGCCACCTTCGGCTGCACTTAATATATGCAACCCATCTCCCTCACAACCACAGTATACCCAACTCCTCCCACTATGACCCTCTTCCAGCTGAAGGCCCCCACACGGAACCCCTCTGTGAAGTTAAGTAAAATTGTAAATGTATGTATGAAGGCATATGTCACATGTGATTCTGTACATATAAACTGTGTGCATGTGGCCGAATATGCAATGTGTATATGAGTGCTACTACATATATAATCTGTATGTGTGACTGTATATGCCGGTGATTTCATATCTACGTGTAGCCTCTTAGCATTGACACCCATTACATTGTGGTGTGTGTGTTTGTGTGTGTGCACACAGTAATACATTGGAGAGTCTCCATTTTATTATATTTTTTTGTCGAGGAGTTAACTCTTGATTCCTTCATAGTTACTGTGAGTGTGAGAATTTACACTTATTGTATGTGATTGATTGAAAATCATATGCACTTTTGCAGACAAAAACCCTTGCTCAACACAGGCTTGTGTTATATATATATATATTATATATAACTTAGCACTTGGCAACAATTTCATTCATAAATAAATTATGAAAATACAATGAATTCACTCAGCATGCAAA